TGTTTTCCATTTTGTTTGGAATTTTGGAACTAGTTTCATCTTACTCTTCAGAAGTGAAAACAATTTAGACTCCTTTACCACTTCTCGGGTGGATGACATTTCTTTTCAGTGGTGTAATTTTACTTTTTTCAAAATAACGTTGGGTTTCGATAAAAGAACTAATTATAAGAGAAAAATGTTTAATAAAGTTTTTCAAAAAAGCAAATACTTTTCAAGTTACTGGCAACTGAAAATTTGTTTCTTTTTTGCGTTTTTCATCATTTTTTGCTAATATCTTCAAAAATATACATTTTAACAAAAATCATGTAATGAACAAAATTATATTAATTGAAATCTTAATAAATCGCTATTTTATAGTGTTTGAATAGGAACATTTTTAGGCTAGATATGAAAATGGGTTTTTTTAGTGCTCAAAATAAGCTTTAAAATGGGTACTTCTGCGTGTAAAATGAGTAAACTATAATGCAAATAAAAGACGCATATAATGTTTTTTCATTTAAATCAAATAGTTTTTCAGAGCCATTTCCACCAAATTTAAAAATAATCGTATTCCATTTAGAATTAACTTGGTTTAAGAGATCTTGATGGATTCTAGAAAATGCCACAACTTTAGTACAAACGATTTTCAAAAAACTCATGATTTCATGAAAAAAAAACATTAAAAAAAACATCCAATTTCTCATTATAATATCTCTGAAAGAATACGTATAAAAGTATATATATATATATATATATATATATATATATATATATGAAAATTCGAGGTATTTTTCTGACTAATTATTGTTGTTTATTATTTTTCCATTACACAAATATTGATAGAGGTATTAATTAAGGATGCGCGGCTGTCCAACCAGAGGTCTTTCGAGCCCTTTAACCCTTCGCCGTTTCACAATAAGAGAAGTTACGGTAAAATTTATGATATAGAAAGTTGTAGCTCTTTAATCACCTTTAAAATAGTGTATTACAAGTTCTGATAAAATCAGAATTAAAAGAGTAATAATCCATTTAATGCGGTGGATGGTGACGGAGTGCAAATTGTTTTCACTTCTGAACTTGAGATAAAGATTAGCCTATTTCCAAAATATCAAGTAAATTGGAGCACAGTAAAAAATTCACAGAGCAATAATTTTGTTGATCGTAAGTTGAATAGAACACATGTGAACAGGATTTGACAAATTAATTCACTTCAAATATAAACTTAAGCAATAATGTATATTGATTTATTGGAGAAAAAAAATGTAATTTAGATATTAAAATTACTAAAAGCCAGTTAAAATATGGTGCGAAATTATAAAAATTATAGGCAGCATTATTGAAGCAATTATTTGGGGTAGAAAAAAAAAGGTGATATGTTTTACAATGTAACATTGTATTTGACAGAATAAACCTGATGATGGAACGTACCTAGTTCCGAAACGTCGTATTAAACATATTCAAAAAACAAATTGTTTTTTATTATTGGATTTACTGTTCGGAAAAGAAACAATCAATATATTGAAAAAATCCAGGACTTATCTATTGAATATATATATATATATATATATATATATATATATATGTTTAATTTGAGTTTAATATTCGGGCGTAACATCAATAAAAATATTAAACTCAAATATAATTGCCCGAATATTAAACTCAAATTAAACATATATATCAACATCAAATTCAAGACTATTCAAAAATATATATATATATATATATATATATATATATATATTTGTGTGTAAAAAGATGCTTTCAATTTGGATGCAGAGGGCGAATAATCTTTTAATGGATGACCTAACTCTTCGGTTTGTGGCACAAATCGCAGATAATTTGAAATCGAAAGCAATTAGAAGTGTCTCCTTTACGGCAATAATAGAATAGTTTTCAAGTCACTGGAGAATGCTCTGATACAGAACCAGAAGAACAATATACAACTCCAAGGACAGGGCCAAGTAATTATAACTCTAAATACTTCAATACCATTTGCAATAAAATATTAATAAATAAATCTTATGTTCTTAGATAGGTGATGAAAACCTAAAAACCTTGAAAAAGATTTTTGCAGCACCCCTAAGATTGTCAAGTGCATGTTAAAAGTCACCTATTCTGACACCAGTTTTCCGCAAAGGTATTTTTTCATAATAATTGCAGCAAAAATAATTAATATGATAATAACAATATCTTCAATTAATATGATATAACAATATATTCAATAGAAGTCCTTGGTGGTAGCTGCAAATTGCCGCAGAATGCAGTGATAAGGCGTAGGAGTGCCTTAACATCCAGAAGATGTATGATACATCAAATTTTGTTTCGAGATTAAAAAAGATTAACAAACAATGCAATAATTTAAAGGATAAATTCCAACAGAGTATACAATGTTCTGAGAAGTTTTCAAATATTCCGGAAACGTAAAATGTAAGGGCAAAAATTTTGATATTGTCTCAATTAAGAGAGCATACTCAAAGACCAGGCATTTTATAAAAAGCAAGTTTTAGTTATAGTTTTAACTAAACGTCCTTGCAATAAAAATTGGATTGAAACGATACAATTGGCATAAATTAAAAGTAGTTCAGGATTTTGGTTAGTTAGGTTTAAAAAAACACTTATACAGACACTATTCAAAGATTTCGTCAAATGTAACTTTATTAATGATTGATTTACTTTGCTAAATATTTATTTAGCAAAATTACTATTATGGAGAGATAATAAAGAAGAATGTCTCGTAAATGAATTTTAATCCTAGGAATTTAGTTTTATCTCAATTTGGATATCAATATATATATTTTTAATTTTGAGGATTATTTTGTCTGGGAAGTATTCGTTCTTTTTTAAAAATTTGCTGTTCTTTTTATCCTTTTAAATTTTTGCATTACTTGTCATTCTTTCTAAATTTGTCATTCCATCGTCAATACTCCTGCGCTTTTTACTTCTTAGATTTAAGTTTTTAATATTATTATTAAGTAATTAATATTAATAAGTTATTTCTCTTTAATTTGTAGCACTTTAAAAATATGTCTGTAATATACTTTAATTAATAGTAGTCAGTTGTTTCTGTTTAGTTTATAATTCTTCAAAAATATGTCTGTGATATATTTGAAAATATATTTTGTATTTCGTATGTTTTGTTCTTATTTCAAATATTTTTTTTCAGATTTTTTGGCTGTATTGATTATATGTACAAATGTAGAAATAATACCAGGGGTTAATTTACATACTATGTGTACATGTGCTGCCATGTTGTGATCAATTGGAAAATTAAAATGGGTGTAACGTCAAATCGCCCGAGATAGCGATCTATTTATTCTTATTTATCTATGGAAAGTGCAAGCTTCAGGATTCGGAACTCTCTCTTCTGTCTGCTACCGAACAGTCACATCATAAATTACAATACTTTTCCTTTTCATTTTCAATACTCAAATATTACGTACATTCTATAAATAATAAATATAATCACACATAGTGTTGTTACTATTTCATTATAAAGTACATCTACTATAGAACCGCATTTTTCTATAATATGATAACTGCATCATCTAGAATTCTGTTATGATAACATTATTCCTTTTTTGTTATATGTAAAATACGCCTGATCGCATGGCAAATATTTAGACATTTTCATAATGTTCATAATGTTCAACACCAAGAACAAGCATAAGATAGCGTTGCCAGGACAACGCTATTTTATGAGCTATGTTATGGCAGAATTGCCCCATAGTTTATTTATATTTTTTTTCTCCATATTTTTCTTTAGTTTGTTTTTTGTTATATTAGCTCTAGTATGTACGCCACTGGGCGTATCCACTAATTTGTAGACAATTGTAAACAACTTGTCAGCATTCTCTGCTAAATGTAATTATTTTTATAGATTGCCGAATGAAAATAAAATAAAAAAAATGGCGATCAGAATAATCATTAGACATTGTACATTGTACATATCAAATTATCAAATATTTTAGAGATTTCAATACTTATTATGATTTTTTTGTTTTAATTTATATGAGCTCCGTACGAATGTTTTTCCGTTATACTGCGATGCGCTTCGATATTTCTTCTGTAAAACATCCAAATCCACGTGCGCAATTGCTCTGAAAAATTTTTTCAGAATTTTCAGAAAATTCAAAGAACAACAAAATTTTCGAAATATAAAAAAAAAATCAAATTTTTCAGTCACATTTTTCTCAAAAATCTATTTAATTTCAGTTTTCACAAATTTTTAAAGTTAAAGTTATTTTAAAAAATTTAATTTTTGTTGGGAGTTCTAGCAATTTGCCTTAAGGCATGATGCCATGCACCACTAGTCTCATTAATTTAATAAGTTTGATTAATTTAATTTCGTCATTACAAGTAATATGTTTTTTAATCATTGAAAATGGTTAACTCATTTTCTTAGAAACTGGAATTTTTTGTACTTTTTGTTTCATACTCCCAAAGCCGCTGGACCTGTCTTTATTTTTATTCTTTTCACTGTATGTCACATAGTTTAGTTATTTTATATTCTGTTTTTTTTTTTTCAATTTGTAGTTCACTGAAGATGATGTAAGATAATATGTCAAAACATATGGAAACAATAAAGACAATCGCAGTGTCTTCTTTTGAAAAGGTTGTGTGTGTGTCCAAGCCTTCTCTGTCGACAACCTGATAACATGCAGTATTGATATCAATTTTTACTTGAAAATGTAGATCTCAAATATATTTCCATTTGTAAATATCTCTTTTCTCGCATTGCAGCGTCACATGACAATGGGAAATCTCTCACGCTATTCTTCTCTGATTCGAGTTGGAGTTTAATTCCAACTATTATTTATTGTATATCATTTTTCAACAGTTTTTTATACTGAAATAGAATGTAGGTAATAAACGTTGAACAAAGTTTATATACAAATTTGAATAAAATATACATGTATTCCAAAAAAAAACAAATTCCAAAGTATGAGCATTATTTACATATTTCTTATTACATGTCATAATACAATATAGAATCACAGATTTTAGAAGTTATAATTAATAAA